TTTAATGAACCAGCTGATTCATTATTGATCATTATGATCATCATTGATTTTTAGAATATTTTTTAGTCTGTATGTTATTTAATTTTGCTTTGTTACTGATTATTTCATTCCTTCTATTCACCTTGGACTTTGCTTCTTGTGGTTTTTCTATTTTTTAGGTGTAAGTTTGGATTGTTTATTTAAGACTTTTCTATCATCTGTAGGTATGCCTGTAATGCTATGAACTTATCTTTCTGACTACTTTTACTGTGTTCTGTAGGTTTTGGGTTGTTGTGTCTTCACAACAAATGTTTTCATTTGTTTTCTGGTACTTTCTTATTTCTTCATTGATTTCATTGATAACTCATTCCTTATTTAATAACATACTCTTTAGCCTCCAAGTATTTGGATGTTTTTGTGTTTTTTTATTGAGGTTAATTTCTAGATTCATGCCATTGTGATCTGAGGAAATGCTTGATATGATTTTAATTTTCTTGAATTTGTTAAGACTTATTTTGTGTCTTACCATAAGGTTTGTCTTTGAGAATGATCCATGTGCACATGAGAAGAATATGTATTCTGTTGCTTTGTGATGAATTGTTCTGTGAATACCAATTAATTCCATTTGGTACAGTGTGTCATTTAAGGTCACTGTTTCCTTGTTGATTTTTTTGATCCATTGGTGACAGAGGGGCGTTAAAATCCCCTACAATGACTGTGTTATTGTCAATCTCTTCCTTAAAGTCCTCCAAGATTTTTTTTTATATATTTAGGTACTCCTATATTGGGTGCATAGATGATTTCAAGGATTATATCCTCTTGTTGGATTGATCCCTTTAGTATTATGTAGTAACCTTCTTTGTCTTTTGTTATGTCCTTTGTTTTAAGTCTGTTTTGTCAGATATAAGTATTGCTACCCCAGCTTTTTTTGGTCTCCATTTGCATGGACATCTTTTTCATCCCTTCACTTTTAGCCTGTGTAAATCTTTTATTCTGACATGGCTCCCTCGTAGACAGCATATATGTGTATATGGGTCATGTTTTCTTATCCAGTCAACTACCCTATGTCTTTTGATTGGAGCATTTAGTCCATTTCCATTTAATATCATTGATAGGCATTTATTCATTGCCATTTTTTGGTACCTATGTTCTTCTAATATCCTCTTCTCCTTAAAGCAGTTTCTTTAACATCTCTTACAATGCTGGTTTGATGATAACCCATTCCTTTAGCCTTTTTTGTTTTTGTCTGAGGGGCTCTTTATTTTGCCTTCGATTTTAAATATCATTCTTTCTAGACAGAGTAGTGTTGGTTACAAGTCCTTGCTTTTAATTTCTTTGAGTACTTTTTGCTAGTCCTTTCTGGTCTGAAGTGTTTCTGTTGGGAAATCAGCTGACAGCTTCAATGAAACTCCCTTGTAGGTAACTAACTTTTTCTCTTGTTGCCTTTTAAGATTCACTCTTTGTCTTTACATTTGCCATTTTAATTATGATGTGTCTTGATGTGGGTCTCTTTTGATTCATCTTGATTGGGACTCTGTGCTTCCTGAATTTGTGTGACTTTTTCCTTCACCAAGTTAGGGAAGTTTTCTGTCATTATTACTTCAAATACATTTTTTAAAATCTCTTTCTCACTTCTCCTTCTGGTATCCCTATGATGCTGATGTTGTTACGTTTCATGTTGTCCCAAAGTTCCCTTAAAATATCCTCATTTTTTTTAGTCTTTTTTCTTTTTATTTCTATGATTGGGTGATTTTTTTTCCTACCTTGTCCTTCAAATTGCTGATTTAATCCTTTGTTTCATCTGAGTGCTTTTAATTCCTTCTAGTGTATTCTTCATTTCAGATGTCGCATTCTTCATTTCCAGCTGGGTCTTATTCATAGTTTTTATGTTGTTTTTCAAGCTGATGTAATTCCCACTAAGTTCCTTGTAGTTATCACTAAGTTTCTTGAGCATCCTTATAAACATTACTTTGATGTTTATGTTTGATAAATTGCTTGTCTCAATTTCATTTAGCTCTTTTTCTGGGGATTCTTCCTTCTTTTGTTTTGGAGTTGTTTCTTTGTCTCCACATTTTAGCTGTCCCCTTTTGTTCATTTCTATGTATTAGGCTAATACATAGGAGTGGGGTGGCCTTATGTGGTAGGAGTCCTGTGGGACACAATGGCGTAGTCTCCTTGATCTCCTGATCTAGAAGCTCTAGGAATGTTCCTAGTGTGGGTTATGTGGGGTCTCCTACTGTATTTGTGGATTGATTTTTGTTGGCCTCTTTGTTGGTGGGATCTCCCCTCTGGCTGGCTGACTGAGAGATTTAACCCCAGCACACCTTGTATATTGCTGTACAAGTGCTGACAAAACAAAACAACACAAAAAAACAAAACCAAAAAATCAAAAAACCCCTCAATGGCAACAAAACCAATGACAAAGGAGCAAAGAATAATAAAAGCAAAAGAGAAATAGAAAAGTAAAAGAAACAATAGTATGAGAAGATCAAAAGAAAGAAAAATGATTTTGTGAGAAGAGAAACAATAAAAGTAAGGAATATAAAGAAGAAAATGTCAAGAAAAGAACAAAGAAAGAGAAAGAATAAAAAATAAGGAACAGAAAGAAGGAAAAATGGAGTAAAGAAAAAGAAGAGGTAAAATAAGACATGAAAGAAAAAATAGAAAGAAAAGAAAAATAAATATAATAAAAAGACTTTGAAAGAGAAAAAAATAACAAAAATAATGAGAAAACAAGGTGGAATTTCTCTCAGCAGAATATAAAGCCTACCTGCTGGGTTCTCTTTTTGGACATGGCTCTGATGTTTTCTGAAGCTGGTGTAAGCCAATGTCAGATGCTGTCCACTTGTAGCCCTCAGCAGCTGTTGGAAGCTACAAGTGACCCACATTTTGTGACTATCTCCTCTAGGCTTGGCTATACATAGGATGGGCCATGCTGCTGTGTAAGACTGGCATTTAACAGCACAAGGCCCAGGGGTGGATCAGAAAATGTCCCAAGGCACCACATGATCTGCCTCCATGTGCCTTTGCCTTCTGTCTTTCTGTCAGTCTTAATGTGGTCACTGACCCAACTGTTTCTCAGAGGGCTTCTGGTGGAGCTGGGAGGATGGGATCCCTTGGAAGTGCTGACTAGAGTTCAGGGAAGATGGTGGGTGTGTTCTCCTGCCACCCAGCAATGTGTCTGATGTGTCCCAGATTATTTCCCTGAATTTAGCAAGTTGAAACCCCTAGTAGGACAGTGAGTGGGGCCTTCAGAGTCCAGAGTTTGGGTCAGGCAGAAACCAAGAGGATGTTTCTATGGATCTCCCATGAGGGGGAAACACCAATCTTGGTCCCCAGGAAACTGTAAGGATGGTCATGCCCTAACACCATCCTCTGACACTTTCTGAGTCTACTTGTGTTGCTGCTTCCTCAGCAGGGGTTAAGATGCTATATGAGGAATAAAAAAGTGCAGGGTTGGAGGAGCAGGATTCCAGAGGGTAGGGCAAGTGATATCCTACAAGGTGGCATAATTGCTTTTCCCCTGGAATGGGGTTGCATTTCTCAAGAAAAAAATGGCTGTTGCTGAATTGAGGTATGTTTTAGCATAGGAACCCCAGCAGCCACTTCCCCAGATCTCTCCCGAGTACCTCCCACTCCATGTTTTCCGCTGGCAATTCCAGTCCATGCTACCCTCCATTTATTGTAGACCAAGGTGAGTGGCTGTGAACAGAAACAGTCTAGAGGTGGTTTCTGTCCGTCTTTGGTTAGAAGTCTCTTCTTGTAGTGTTCAGTTGTTTATTTCAGGTGGCTGTTTCCGTCTTTATTTTTATTTCCAACTTGGTTCTATGAGGAGGTGCAAGAAAGATCTTCCTACTACAATGGCCTCCTACGACCAGCTGTACTGAAATTTCTAATTGTTTTTTCAGTGACTTTAAATTCTCTGGAATCCTAATAATGCACACCTGTATTGCTCTTATATTATACCCAGCTTGTTAGCTTCTGCTAGTAGCTTTCAGTCCATGATGGCCCTTCTGTTTCATAGCTGGTTCCTTGGCAAGAAGAGAAGTGGGGAGATACCTATACTTTGGAGATAAAATTGTTTCATTAGGTTTTCTAAGAGGATTTAAGATAGAATCTTTCAGCTAGGACATTTGGGAGTTACTGTTGCTTGTATGATTTTAAGAGGAATAAAAGTAACTGATAGACAGGATATTTTATTTGGTAGTAAAAAGATCAAAGAAATGAGACTATTTTGATTTTAGCTCTTTTTGATGTGGTATATGAGCTATTCATTTTAGACATGCTGTAAAGCTAATACCAGATTTGTAGCAATCTATCATGTCAATATTAGTTTTAAAAACTAACATGTTTGCACATGTTAGTTTTTAAAAAAATAAATGTTATGTCATATCAGAAGGACTGATTTCAGCGTATTTTTCATACTACTGAAAGTATATCTGAAAATATTCTGAAAACATAAATACTGTAATTTTTTTCTTGAAGTTAACTACTTTTTGTTCTATACTTGAAGTTGTGGTTTTCAGGAAACTTTAGGTTTTGTTTGTTTTTAGACATTGTTCTACATAATTTAGTACTTTAGAAATTATTTGAAATTAAAACTGAGAGAGCTGCTAGTTCCATAGAAGGGGGGAGAAGAGAGCAAGGGAGTTTAATGCCATTGCGGGGAAAACCAAACCCATAAGGCCGTGGAGCATCAATCCTGTCCCATGTATTAATAACTGACACTTAGTAAATATATACCTATAGAAATATGTAATATTCACCATCCTGAGTAGGATATTTGGAAATACAAAAGGAAACTCTTCTGTTAAAGGTAGAAAAGACTGCCTTGCCTTAAACGTCTTGAAATTGTGCTAATTTTAAAAAAAGCTTTTTTGAGAGACAACGTGCAAGGAGATATGTGATTTGAGGTGGGATTCCCACAGGGCAGCGTAATACTTTGGATTTTAAGGCAATAATTTTTGTACTTTTTTCTCAGTATGACTTAAGTTAAAATGTACTTATGTACATTTTTATAGTTCCTGGCCTGACAGGAGTGTGCATGGTATTGGTGCTCTTCTTGATGGTCACAGCTTCTACATATGCAATACGGTGAGTGTCAGAGTCATGATTTCAATGTCTACTGGTCAGATTGTTTAGATTTTTCTTCAGATTCTCTTCATTCTCATGTGTAGAAACACACTTGATTAAACAGAATGCTTAGCCAATGCAGTATTCTGATGAGTAGATGATTCTGGGTAACAAAGAGTGAAGTACAGACATTTCTGAATATATCATTTCCCCTTTTTGGAAAAAAAATCTCTCTGTTTTACTCAAATATTCTAGGTTGGTAAGAAAGTGTGTATAGAGACTTTTTAAACTAAGAAAATTTGAGTTTTTCAGGAGCATTCTTCTGGAGGATAGTATATTTCTATGAGGCATGGGATTGAATTCAAATTGTATGCACGGGAACATTTCACTTAAAATTATTTTATAATTCATTTCCTGATATGAGTTTGCTGTACTTTAATGTGGTATTCTAAACAGAGCTTTGGAAATATGGTTAGTTGACATCTGCTAAAATAATAAAAAATATCTGCATTCACATTATTATTCTAGTTAAGAGATTTTGAGCAATTGCAGATACACATTTTATGAACATTCACGTGTTCTTTCTGGATACATCTGTTTTTTCACAGATTTTACAATATTTTATGTTACTGGACAGACTTCTTGGTTAAGAAAGGAGAAACTATATAAATCTTCCAAAATAGTCATCCTATTTATTGAGATGTGAAATATAATTCACAATTGAGATGGGAAATACACACACACCTATACTTTGAAAATAATTGCTCTATATCATGCTTAAAGGAGTCTGTCCTTGAACTTCTCAACAGATCTATGCACATAGACACAAACCTCAGAAATCTCTCAAGCAAACTCACCACTCAGATACTAATGCTATAAACTTCCTGGTGTTATGTTTATACACTTCATTCTTCTTGGTTTTGCTCACTCATTCCCTATGTCTTACCTCTACCAAAATCACTCTCTTTCTCTTCCTTTCACACTCCTGATTTCTGTCTCTTCATATACATGTATTTTACCAAAATTGGACGATGTTATATGTACTATTTTAAATCACCTTTTTCCTTAAATCGTTATGAACATTTTTTACTTTACTGATGGCACAACATATGACCATGCAGATGTACTTGTACATTACTCTCCCATACTCCTATTGTTGGATATATTAGATTGACTCCATTTTTTCAGTATTTCAATTGTGAAACAAACACCCTGTCCATATGTCTTTGCATACTTTTTCAATTACATCCTATGGAAAAATACCTAGATGAAGAATGGGTCAGATGGTAAGCTAATTTTTGCAACTTTTCATAAGAATTAAAAATCACCTTACAAAAAGGCAAATCTCTAACATTTGTGCATCAGCATGAAATTTTGTGGGAGTTTTATTTTAGTTAGGACAATAATTCATAAAAAACTTACTTTTTAAGTTTTAGGAGTTCTTGAGGAAAAATTAGGGCATCTGACATTTATTTACAAAATTGAAGATATATAAATGAGCTGTACCTAGAAAAAAAGAATCCTCAATTGCGTGATGTATTGTAAGATGGAATATAAAGAGCTTTTTTTTTAAAGTCAGCTTTTTTTCTCAACTGAGCTATTACATAAATAGTTTGGTGACTGTGTCTTAATTGTTAATTTTTTCATTTGTTTAAAAGAGATTATAAAACTAACTGCTTTTCTCCAAGCTTCATTGTGAGAATCATGAAATTCTTAAATGGATCAGGGAGACAATTTTTTTCTATTTTTTTCTTTACTAGTTAGGAAAAAACATTAGAGAAATCAGGTGAATAAATATGACTTCGGTATTTGATTTCTGGCATTGAATTTTGTCTAATAATTCACAAATTATTCAATATTTATAAATTATTAAAATAAGTAATATATTCTACTAACAAATGACAATAATACTAACATATTTTCTCATCTCAATAAACTTTGAAATGGCAGTTGTTAAATTTGAACTCTTAATTCTGAATTAAAATAATAAGAGTTAACTAAAAATATAAAAACCAGAACTGAGATCATACTTACCAATGAAATATGAGATACATTCCTAAGAAAGTCATGAAAAAGCCAAAGAGATAGTTTAATTCCATTAAAGCATGTCATTATTTACATATGATAAGAAATTAAACATTTAGAATTATTAAAAAGAATGCAGCAACAAATTATCATTAATTCCAGAAAGGGAGATGTAATTGTCTAGCCAGGAAATCCAAGAGAATTGTGGAAAAAATAGTGTTATATCAAATAAAATAGTTGAAATAAGTAAATGAATACAAAACAAACATTAAAAATTGCTCTTTTATATAATAGCTATTATCAGTTTGAAAATTGAATAAAATAAAAAGATTCCACTAATCGTTGCAACAAGAACATAAAATATCTATGAATAAACTTATAAAGATCTAAGTGAAAGCTATATAGAAAAACAACAAAACTTCACCGAGAAAAAAATGTAGAGATTTAAATAAAAACTATATAATGAAAAAAGGGAGTTATTCTTCAATTATTTTGTTTGTTGCAATTCCAATCAAAATCCAAGATAGGTTATTTGGTTTGTTTACTTATTAAATTTAACAAAGTGATCATGCTATTTGACAACTTTTTATTGCAATTATGTGGAACTAGTATATTCTTAAATTGAATAGTTTACTCACAACAATGAAAGAAAATTCCATGAGGAAATATGAATAGTTAAGTAATAGAATAATTAAAAGTGTGTAATACACAAATGAAATAATACCCAATTCCACTTATACAAAATAATGAAAAGTTATAAAGTGGAGCCTGGGTTTGGGGAAAAAAGGCATTCCTATTCTCAAGTTAGATTTGTAATTGATAAACATGTTTTCAGAGAGCCATGGGAAGTGTGTATCAAAAGCATTGCAAATGTGTGCCCTTTGACCTAGCAATTCCATTTGTAGGAATTTAGATTAAAAAAGAGTTATATGTATGCAAAAAAGGCATATGTTACAAGGATGTTAATGATTTCATTTATGATAGCAAAATCTGAATGAAGTAAATATGAATCAGTTGGTCATTGCTTACATCAGGGGTTCTAAAAGGATCTAGGGGTTGTATGTGAATGTCCTCGGAAGCTTTTACAAATACCTGTGCTCTACCTCCAAGATTCTAATATATTAATATCCACCCAGACATATAAATTATGTTAATTTTTTCCTTTTCTTAAACATTCTATAGATTGTGTTTATCATACTCCTGCATTTTCAGACTCACTGTTCTGCAGGACAGTAACAACGAAGAGTTGTTTTTAAATTATACACTGTCCAGGAAATGAATATAAAACTTTAATGAACATTTCTTTAATTTCTCTCAATTAGAGTTTTCTTTAAATGACTCTCAAAATATTTATTGGAGTAGGAACCTTAGTTGTTTTAGAAATCATTTGAAAATTGAGACTATTGATAAAAAGGGCAGCAAAATTACGTATGAGCAGACTATAACTGCTTGTTAGCCTTACATCATAATATGTTTAAGAAAACAACTTATTTCAATTATTTCTATGTGTTTTTATTTCAAATAAGAAAAGCCTTCAAATGATTGGATTATTTATAATTTTTGTCAGTTCTCTCTGCATGGTATGCAAATACTTTGGTATAATAGGTAGATCTCAGATGAACCCATAGTTGAACTTTCTTAAATTGTGATGTATTTGAAATGCACAATCTGTTTAGTGAGATGGAATGTAAACTAAATGGAATGACATTGAAACTAAGTTCTTTGTTTTTCCAGAGTTTCTCAGTATGACATCTTCTGGTACACTCATAATCTCTTCTTTGTCTTCTACATGCTACTGATGTTGCATGTTTCAGGGTAAGCTATAAAGAAATATTTTTTAAAATGCGTGCTTAAAATGGGTAATGCAAGATATATCTGCAGGAATTTTCATACAGAGCGGTAAAATTATTTGGTTACTAGGAATTGAGGGTAGTGTCAAGAATGGAAGAAATAATTTTATTTTTAGTATGGCATGTTTTATGGAACTAGTATAAAAGTATATTAAAATTGAAAGACAGTTACTTGTCCTACAATGTTATAATTTTTAAAGTTCTTTTTAGCTATATCTTGATAACTTCTTTAAGAAAGTATGAAGTTAACTTCTAGAAGATACTGTAGTATTTATATTTTCAGTAATTCCTTATGTCTCTCTGCTGCAGAATTTGTAATGATGGAGTTACCAGATTTTAGTTTAGAAAGGCCTAGAGGCAATAATAGTTGCAAAGAAAGCTAAAGATTTACGATGAACAAAGGTAAAGTTGTCAAAAACACCAGAAAATCACAAAGGAAATAAAGAATATATTCTAAGCTTGTTACAAAGAATATAATCCAATATTCTGAAAAGTATGGGAACCCAAGCAGTGTTCTCAAAACTATGGTGCGTAAAATAATCCATTAGATCAGAGGAAGAAACTTGCTTCTACATATAACTGCATGATCACTAGAGTAGACTTGTGGTTTTGTCTTGACATTCACACTAATACGACACAGTAGGTGTCAGATCTGCAGATTCACTTCATTTAGCAGAAGGATACAGTAAAGGAAACATGGAAGGTCAACAGGATGATGTCAGGTGCTTCTGTAATGGCAGTGCCTATTAATGTTCAGGAACAATTTCCTTTCTCCTTTCCCTCATCCCCAAGGTAGTAACTCACTTTTAAGATGAGAAGACTGTATAGCTAAACATGGACTATTTGCTTTGGGTAAGGATCATACTCCACAGGAACCAGTATCTAGGTTATAGCCCACGTCTCCTCAAGGGATGACCTCAGTTTTAAGAATACACTGCTTGTAGGAAGCCAAGGTCTGTGAGTCCTAAAATGATTTTATAGTTCACTCACAGCCCTTGTGGTCCAGATACATTTCACCAATAATAAACACCAATGATATTGACTAGTGACACAGCTGGCATTTGCCATTTACCTTAACCCCAAATGTTCCCAGGGAAAGTGGAGAATGGTTCAGGCTTTCTGTTTATCCTTTCTTCAGAATGTTTTATAATGTGCTTTGTCAGTACATTAGGTCATATACATAATTATATAGAATAGCCAGGGTGCATGTTCAAATTTTTTCCCCCATGACTTTGGAGACCACTGATTTGGAAAACAGTATTATATGTATCTCTGTTTCATTGGTCCTGGTTTAATTTGTTCTGTACCATAGTTCAACCAGGGGTGTCGAACCTGTGGCCCATGGGCCGCATGCACCCCATGATGGCTGTGAATGTGGCCCAACACAAAATCATAAATTTACTTAAAACATTATGAGTTTTTTTTGTGATTACGTGTTACAGTGTATTTAATGTGTGGTCCAAGACAACTCTTCTTCCAGTGTGGCCCAGAGATGCCAAAAGTTTGGACACCCCTGTATGTAGAGTATCCGAAAAATGGCCACACATCATAATCTCGACTTCCAGATAGCCATTCCTACCTCACAAGAAAGGCCATGGTTGATGAACACCCTGAGTTCCATTCTTTTCCCTTGGTAAGGATAACACATTCTATGGAGAATTAGGACACCAAGAAAGCCTGTGGTAGATAAAATCTGCGTTACATTCTGTTCTTTGAATCTTTGTTTGCCTTCCCAGAGCTATTATCATAAAATGGGCTATGAATAAGCAAATGCTACAAATGATAATAGTTATTTAAAACAATTATATAATGCTTACTATATTCCAAGTAGAAATTCACAATTATTTAGATGCTTTATTTCATTAAAGGATCGTAATTTTATAAGGATACATAATAATGTAAAACCCCCTTTACAGGTGGGAAAACTGAGTTTTAAAGAGAGTAAGTAAAGTTTACTTTACGTAATGCTAAAGATTACTTAATGATGAATTCTGGATTTAAATGCAGACATTCTGACTTAAAAACTCATGTTTTTTTACAACTAGGAGAGTTCTGTATTTCTCAAAATTTGGTGTTAAGATTTCTTTAAAGGGTTAATATCTTTATTGTGATCTCCCACCTATAACAGATGAGAGAAAAATGCAATTATTTGTTTATATACTTAATTATGCATTCTTTGGCCTTTATGTTATATTAAGTTAAAACTGAAAAAAATCTGTTTCTTTGCAATTCAAAACAGAGTCATTTTTTTAAGGTTCAGAAGTTCATGTAGACTTATATTTAAAAGGATTATATTGAGAGTTCTTTCTCCTTTTTTTTTGGAAGTTAAAGAAGGCATAGTTAATTTTTTATGTTTTTTGTATGAACAATGGTCATAAACAGGAAGTGACTTTATACAAAGAAATAACAAAAGGAATCTACAGGCTTTATTATATATGATCAACTTATTATTCCAACTGAAGTAGTAGTTCTTTACATATTATTGGTAGAAATGAAAACAATTATCCTAATACTAAGAGTTATGCAACAAAAACACAATACTACAGGCATTCTAGAGTGCGCATTTTTCAATCAAGTTTAATTTTTTATTAAAGTATAATTGACTAATAAAAGTATATTATTTAAAGTATACAATTTAATGATATATATATATATATATGTTGTGAAATTATTACCACAAGAAAACAAATTAACACATTCATCACATCACATAGTTTTGTTTGTTTTTATGTTTAACCTTGCTTTTTTTCCTGGTGAGAACACTTAATATCTATGGTATAAGCAAATTTCAAATATACAAAACAGTATTATTAACTGTAGTTACCATGCCACATATAAGATTCTTGGAACTCATGCATCTTATAACTTAAAAGTTTAAAACACTATAAACCTTAATTTAGAAAAAAACTACATTGATTATGTTTCTGCTGTGGCAAAAATTACTACGGATAAATCTTGCGGCTTTCTCAAAATAGAATATTTCTCAAAATATTTTTTTTTAATTGCTAAAGGATCTGTCTGTAAGTAAATCTGTTGATGGTATTATCTTTTGTGCCAATGTTGCGGACTTAGACATATATTTACCTATGAAATGCCTTGATAATTTCATTCTCTAGATTTTGGTTCCATGAGTAAAGTGTAGCTATTCAAAACAAGTTTCTTGGCTTTATATTGAGATTTCTGTTAAACAATGTGCTTTAAGTTTTTATTTTCAATAATTCTAGTAATTTAGGGAATTAAAGGATCAATGTAGGCTAGAAATTTTAGAAAATTTTAGGCTTTAAGGATGAAGTGATTAGAAATTGCTAATTTCTCTATATAAACAATTTGCAATAAGAAGAGCAATTGTTTCATGATTTTCTAAGGTCACTTTTATTTTCATAGAATCTCTAATTTTGAAGGAAGCTTAAAGGTTGCCTTGACTAAGACTATAAGTGTCCCCTATAGTATGTCTAAGTAAATATTTATTTATTTATTTTCTAACTTATTTTCTTTTTTCTTTTTTTTTAAATTTTATTTTAATTTATTTTTTCAAATACATTTGTATAAGTAAATATTTAATTCTGAAGAGCCCATTCTGTCTTTGTGAAGCTGTAAGTTACACAAAGTTCTTTATCTTTAGAACCAGAATTTATTTTACATTAATTTCTGGGTGGATTTAAAAATCTGTCATTGCAGAGGACTTGGAAACTGAGTCACTCTCCCTAAATTCTCTTCATTTGTTTCTTGAATGATATTTCAAGTCTCACCATCATTATAAACTTCCTCCAATAGTTAAAATTCATTCAGTACTTGTCATGTGTCTTACTGATGTTTGATTTTGTTAAATCCTCCCAACAACCCTGGTAAAATCTGCTGCTGCTGCTGCTGCTGCTGCTGCTGCTGTTATTCCTGTGAGAGAACAGGGGGGCAGTGAGAGGTGAGGTAACTTGCTAAAAGTTGTGGTAATTAAGAGGAGCGTGAGTTTGAACCTAGGTATCAGATTCCTAAGCCCACATTCCTAACCACTACATTATGCTGGCCTCAGTTTGGCATGGCTTCCCTGTATTGCTTTTAAAGCTGGAAACCAAACTAAATGCAGGCTCTTGGGATATGTGATCTGATGTTGGCAAAATGGAAGTCTTACCTTCTTTACTTCAAATATTGCAATCAATATATTTAAGGTGCAGTTACCTTGTTCCATGATTATTCGTGCCCTTATTTCCTCTAGTTTGCATTCCTGTTACCAATGTTTTAGATATTTTTTATTATTTATAAGCAAATGTATTGCATGACACCCTGAAAAAACACATTTCATTTACATTAAATTTAGATGTTTCTTTTCAGGGTTCAGGCAGATCTTTGAAATTTAATTTTCCTTTCCAAGACATCAGTATAGCCTGGCCATTAAACAGCTACAATACTTAAAAGCTGTATGACTTTGTCAGATAATCTGTCCTTTTTTTCTTGTTTACTAGATGGGATTAATAAAATCATCATAGGATTATCTCAGGTTTATATAAGTAAATGTATTCAATACTATTGTAGGCAGAATATACACATACTCAATAAATACTAGTAGGCAGAAATACTTGTACCAATGCTAATACCTGTATGAGGTAGAAACTCCACAGTTAACTGAAAAATCAGCGTTTTTTTTCAATTGTTGAAAATGAGATAGCACTTTTTAAAAACTTTTAAAATTAAATTTATTGGGGTGACATTGTTTAGTAAAATTATCACATCCACAAGGACATTGGAAGATGCCAAGCATCCCTTTGGCCTCTGGAAACTTCAACAACAGTGACACTCCATCAAGAGTGATTCATTTTATGTCAGTGAATTTTATAACTGAGGACAGGTCATCAAATGAAAATTGTCATTACTGCAACTTGCCACTTTCCCTGATGCCTGAGTTCAGAGCACCCCAGCACAAACTATGGTACCTCCTTCCCAATGCTGAATAAGCTCCACTGTCTGCAGAAA